CTCAATGATTGCTTGGTTAGCTGTGAAATGAGCAAACTGGTAGTATGGAGAAACCCGGTAGAGAGATGTAAACGCCACGAACTCTTCTTCGCTTGTTGGTTCCTTCGTGATCATGTCAAAAAAGGGTGATTTTCGGGTGAGAAGCCTTGCAGCCAAGCCATCTGCAAAATAAGCAACTACTCGTTGAACGGAGTCGCCGCATAAGGAAACACTCTTGTACAACTCACTCAGATTCTCCAAGGCTGAGCTCACATTGTTTTCATTAACCGCAGTGGCTGTTATGAGCAGCATGTGGATCAAATGGAGGCCTTTTCCATCTTCATCGAGCACATGAGCTCCTTTCTTCTTGTGGTCTAGCTTCAGCATTTGTTCCCTCATTTGAAGCAGCCTGAATATCTTCCCTTCACAACCTTCATATGAATTTAGAGGACTAACCAAAACATTTTTGTGATCTCTTCTCTTCCTCTTCTTCACTCTTTCACCCCCTGAAGTTGTAACAATTGCCAGGCTAAGATTCAAAAGCTCCTCCTCATCTATGTCTTCCATCTCTAGAGAGAGAGAGAGAGAGAGAGAGAGAGAGATGAATGAGTGAGTGAATTTAGTACTAGATTGAGAACATATGAGGGAAAAGATGATGGAAGAGCATTTATGGAAGGAGGTGGGGATGGAATATCTCATAGTGAAAATTCCTTTCTGTCATCACATGGGAATGGAACAAAAAACAAGAGAGATATTGGAGAATAAAACCTTTTAATTTTTAATTTTAACTATGAGATGGAGAGACAAGATGGGTATCTTTTTATTCTTGAGAATCAGCGTCTTTGATCAAGAAAACATATTGATCCTTTTGATCAAGATATTAAGCATGTTTTTGGAAATTTATGAAAAGTGTTTGATTTTTAGTCCTTAATTTAATCCCATCCTTTGGTATTTCGGAAGGCTAAGAAGATGCCGTACGCATTCGACAAAAAACAGCGGGGAAAAATTAGGGTATCAAACCTACCGTCCTTGAAGACTTGTCGCCATTGGCAATATTGGTTCTAGATACATGCCCTAACAAATGCTAGTTTCTAGTTTTTCCCCCACCAAATCAACCATGATGCAATATTCCCTTTTACTTCCTTTTTTTTTCTTCTTCCTGAAAATGACTGGCATTTTGATGCTACAAAGAAAAAGGGTAGCTCCCATTTTTTCAAATAGATTTTGATCATAGTTGACTCCAATGGAATTAAACACATCAAGGTGTTAAAAAAAAGTCCACATGTATCTCTATAATGTTGTTGAAAAAGGTATCTGTCAATCATTAATGTCAATTATAGTTAGGCTTCATTTGGTTCATGAGAAATTATTTGCCTTCCCATGTTTGGCAAGTCTACTCTTGGGAAATTATTGAGGGAAAATGAAACCCTCCATCCACCTTGAGTTTCATTTTCCCTCATCGTGTGTAAATCTATCGTTCTTTGGCCTCTGATGTGTTGGCCATGCAGTTTTGGGGTTGATGTGGTGGATCTCCATTAGACCTTTGTGTTGAGTTGTGGAGCTATTTGATTTTGTTTTTTCACTTTTAGGTGTTTCACATCCAAACATTCCAAACCAGTAGAAAGTTCTGATCTCTCACGTGATGTTCCTGCATCACTAGATGCAGTGGTTCTATAGATCCTCTTATGTCCTTTAGTTCCTAGTTAGGTGAGTCTTCAAGATATGGAACTGTTTTGCTTATTGTCTTGCAATGGTTGTGTTTATTGTTTGTACCTTATTTTGTTGTTTCCAAGAACCCTTCATCGGGCTACGTTCTTCATCTCTCTGTATTTCCCCTTCTATTAATGAAATTGCATTGGCTATCAAAATACAAAAATTAAAAATTCGGCTAGCGTATAGTATTTAATGTATAGTTTCTTTTTCCATCATTTGTGAAAATGTGTGTCTAATACGTGAAGTTTACAGGTATAATTCAAAATTTGTAAAAAATATCTTCTTTTTTTTTTTTTTTTTGGTTGAGAAAAAGCATTAGTAATTATTGATGAAACATATCATAGTACAAGGCCATAAAAGAGCTAAAATGGGTACAACATCTCCAGTGACCAAACACAACAACATGTTGATTTGATTTGGAGAAAATTACGCCTAAACCAACAAATACTCAACCCCTTGATTCAGTATCTCAAAGGACTCGTACTTAGACTAACAATATATCTCCACCGCGCAATGGTAGAAACGGCATATCTGTATTGCAGTCGAAAACTAGAATACAAAACACATCAAACTCCCAAAGAGTTCCCGAGAATTCAAATAAAAAGTACAACAAATTTCTAATGAGTTAAACAAGAAACAGGAACACTGCTCCACATCCTTTCCGGCAATCAAAGAAATCCATAAAGCCATACCGGCTAAACCCTTAGCTAGAGCCATTATTGTAACTCTGAACACTGAGCTAGAGCCAAAACCCTGTATATGTGGGCCAAAAGCGGCAACTAAATCATAACGACAATGGCGTTTCGCAATGTCTGCTTCCACATCACATACGAACTAGCATAGCAACCGTTACTACCACTACCGACGTCGACGCCACCGCCTCCACAAGGATAGATAGCACCACTGGTAACTCTTATTATAACCAAGCAAAAACACCCTAACCAAAAAAAGCTACAACCGAACTTGTAGCTAGAAACAACGAAAATAAAAAACAAAACCAAGATCCACGAGAAAGGAAAGGAAAGGAAAGAGAAGAAGAAAAAAAAGGGTATACAGAAAGAGAGAGGGGTTGAGAGGGAAGAGAGAGGAGGAAGATAAGGGCGAGATGGGGGGTTAAGGGAGGAGAGGCAAAGGTCACCCCCCTCACCCTGCGGCGCTGAAGGGTGGGTTAGGGTTTTTTGGCTTGTGAGAGGAGAGGGGAGGTTGAGACCACAGTTTATGTTGTAAAAAAAATGTCTTCAACATGAAGAATATTTACGTACGTGTATTGTATGCTTAATATTTAAAGACATATTTTATATATCTGTAAAAAGTATGCAAAAAATTTAAATATTTTTAAAAAAAAATACTTGCGTACATATATAATATCTTAAACTCACTAGTTTTTAAGCGTACGTAAATTCACTATTAAAATAAACGTAAGTTTAATTTACTTATCACTTTCTACTTGATCACCCTCTTTCATTTTACGGACCCACTTAATAAGTTCATCACATTACATTGCATGCGTGTAATGCTTCAAATATTATAATTAGTCTAAAAAAATATGTGTTTGTTGGGTCTGTTAATGTCAAACTCACTTTTTCCTCTCTCAAAATACTTGTCAAATTAACTTTTATGTGAGAAGACCGCTATTCAAATTTGATACTATTAACAACAAAGATTGTTCAAATTTGCAAAGCATCTAGTATATATGGTGTAAATTACAAGAAAGTCATGATTAATTATATGTTTTGAAGACCTTCTGCTCATCAAGGAACAATGAGTTTCAAATCAACATTTTGAAATGTAGATATTGATCGAAGTAATTAATTGGCATATTCTTGACTAGCAAATTGACATTTTCAATGGTTTGTTGCATTTTTCACACCATATAAAGTTTAAAACTTCTCATTTGTTTGTTTATTCCAAGATACAAGCTATTTATAATTTAGAATAACAATGCCAATTTAATTACTTCTTTTTTTTTTGGTAGAACAGAAAATATATAGCTAGCAATGCATGCATATAAAAAAAAAATATTTATTATTATAAAAAAAATTAAAAAATTAAAAAATTAAAAAATTAAAAAATTAAAAATTAAAAAGAGGTTTGTGGGGAGGGCTCAAAGCTCAATGGAATTAGCTGGTGAGCATTTTTCTTTGAAATAGCCGTTTGAATGAGTCCAAAGGGACCTTCAAATCCTCAAAAAGACATAAAACAAGGAAGCATGAAAGCTCTCTTGGTTGTCTTGGTTATGGAGGACATGTACGGTAGTTAATAAAATGGAATTTATATTTGGTTATAGGGCAATGCCAAAAAAAATATATAATTTATTTACAAGCATGCAGATTCTCTGTCCCATGGAGTGTGAGGTTGACATATGGCAAATTCTCCGATGCTCTATCAAAATACAATCCCCAAGTATTTGCGTTCATTTGTTTGTTCCACATATTTTTAAATTATTTTTCTTTTTGTTTTTAAAATCAACATGATCCGTTGAAGGAGGCTAAGCAGTCTCATGAAAATCTGGAATTTTTTAGGAAGCCTGCATCATCAGATGGCAGCAGTCCCCTGACCATTCTACATGATCGGTATTTTAAACTACAAGGGTATATGAGTTTCTCACACACACAATACCACAGTGCCATAGAAATTCGAAACTGAGAGCACTGGCCTGCAAATCAGGGCCCTTTTCCACTGTCCCCCTGCAGTAATTTTTGTAGTTAACAACATAGAGACTATGTTTGCTCATTACCAACTGTAAGTAGTGTTTCGACAAACATCTTGCATACCTCACGACATCTGTCTCCATCTCCTCCATCTCTCTATATAACATAAGGAAAATAAAGTTTTAAATAAAAAACCAGGAGTAGAAAAAAAGCAATTAAGAAAATACAAATTTATAAATAAACTCAATCCTAGACATGTATTTATAAAAAAACCCAAGCACTATTTAAACATAGAAACACACCCAAAATCAACCCCAAAGTCAACTTTTTGGGTGTGTTTATAAATGGGTTTTGAGTGTGTGTAATGATGAGTTTTGGGTGTGTTTATATGTTTAAATAGTGTTTGGGTTTTTTTATAATTTCAACCCCCATTTTGGGTGTTTTAGTGAAACTCCCGAAAGAAAATCCAAATTGTACTTTTTTTTGTGTTAGGTTAAAACCAAATGGCACTTTTCAATAAAAGAAAACTACAATTGTTTGAAATGCACATTGCATGCAATTCACAGGTTCAAGAATCTGCACTGTTGTAAGACAAGGTATATGATGCAAATCAGAATAGAAATGTGTAACCCCAAATGGTGCCACAATTAGATGAGATAATCAACAAAACCTACATCATCTCCTCCATTAAAGAAATGAGTCCCAATTCAGCAAACTATGAAGAAACTATCTCCATTTATCATTTAACTCAACGATCACTTATCCTATGTGAAAAGGTGAAAAATAAACAAAATAACACAACTCATTTCATTCCAATACCACAGTAGCACCCAATTCCTTAAGCTTGTCAACAATGGGCCCCGCCTCCTCTTTGGTCACGCCTTTCTTCACCACAACAGGGGCCTTCTCCACCAATTCTTTAGCCTCCTTCAGTCCCAGGTCAGTGAAAGTCCTAACCTCCTTTATGATTTTGATCTTTGCCGCTGTGTCGAACTTCTCAATCTTTATATCAAATGCAGTCTTCTCAACGACCTTGGAGTCTGCGGAGGCAGGCCCAGATTCCGAAGATGCCGAGCCAATCCCCGAGACTGCTGGGCCATACCGATTGAGGCCCATTTTCAGCCTGAAGAGGATGGAGTAGTCGTGCCTCTCGATCTTTGTAAGGTCGAGGAGCTCGTCTGCAACGCGCTCGAGCTTCTGGGTCGGAGTCTCATTTGCTGAAGTTGCAGTGCTAAGGGCACGAGAAAGAGTGAAGGTGGCAAATCTTGATAGGGACCTGCAGGCAACTTTTGTGGTTATGTTGGACATTTTGTGAATCTTTGGCATTACAAAGGTTTTGGAAAGTCTAAGATTCACAACCTAGCTGTAACCATAAGTTGGAAATTATACTCTAGAAATCAAGTAGTTTGGTTTCGGTATTGCCTCTAAGAAGAGGGGCTCAAGTATTGTCAATGTGCAGTAGAATACATAAATATCACTTCTAAGGGATCATTTACATTGTTCAGCAGAAAAATTCTGGTTCAGAAGATCATGTTATCTATCATTATTTACCATAATAGAAGACATCCAGAACACAATGACTTGTAACAGATC